TAATTAGTTTTAGCACTATACTTTATGATTTCCGAAAGACTTCCCATTCCATCACAGTGCCACTCCACACAGGCACACACAGTATTTTTTTTTTTGAAAATAGGTAATGGAGGCACACACAGTACAAGCAATGGGGGAACCCAGCTGTAAAATTTATGGACAGAATTACCCTCACCACTACACCCTTTTTACACAACACCATGAAGAAATTCCGGCAGTAAAATGATACTGTAAAAATAGTGTGAATGCAGAGTACGAATTTGCCCTTACACCAGATACGCAGTCAAAGTGGTCCTTACCCAGTCAAAGGACTGAATTTTTGTAGTACAATAGTCATTTGGTCTGCTTATAGCATAGAGAATTGTGTCCATTTTTTTGGCCACAGATAATTTTGTCAATTATTTTTATTTATCTAGTTATTAAAAAAAGCATATAGTGTAATTTATACAGTAATAAATTATATAATTTAAATTATTAAACAAAGATACATTTTTAATGTTAGAGGTTGTTTTTCATTTAATAACTTTTATTTTAGATTTTAAATTGTAAAAAATCAAACTTTATCAACAAAATTAGTAGTTAGAACTTAGAAAGAAAAGCATACAAATTTTATGGTAAAATTAACAAAAATGGACGACAGAAGGGCTGAGTAGACGGTTATTAATCAAATGAGTGGTTGAAAATCAATTAAAAATTATCTCAATGGTTAAATTTAAATGGTTTTTTTTTTTTCACTTTTAGTTGAATAATTGAAAAAAAATCAGTTAGTTAATGGTTAAAGGGTTTGAAAATAAAAAACTAAATAAATAATCAAAAAATAAATTTTTTTGTTAATAAATAAGTAATAATTATTTAAGTATTATAAATAAATATAAAAATCATCTTACTCAATTTTATTGTCAAATGTTACCCTATAAATTTTGTTTATCATAATTTAGAATTTAAATTTAAAATATATCCAAAAGTAAAAAAATAAAATTCAAAATTTATATTTTACTCTCACATGCCCATCTTTTTTTTACATTTTCTTATATTTTTGTCCCTTAAAAATATTTTACCACCCACTACACATGTAATCACTTCTCCTTTACCAATGTTAATACATTGCAACTTTTATCTTTGATAATTATTGGTTAAGATGGAAGCTGAATTTATAATAACCAAACTAAAAAATTTTATCTATTTTGATTTCGGTTTTGGTTTTAACTTTTAAAACCCAAAATTTTCAATTAATCAAATATCATTTTCAATTTTAACCAAAACCAATGTTTGCCCACGCCTCCCCTAGAAGTGAGTGGGAGTATATATTTTTGTTTTATTACTTTAAGTTTAGGGTTTTCCAATTTAGAGACCATAAAATGCAAACTAACAAGATTAAACGAAATTCCTCACTACAACAAAAATATAGGAACTTTAAAAAAGAAATATATATATATATATATATAAAGTTTTTTGGTGGATAGAGGTAATCCTTTGTACCAAGTGCAATTTCACCTCTATCATTGCCGTATTGGAAGACATCACCGGCTGTGTCACTAATCTACCATGCCAGTGCCACCACCTGCGGCAGCCATAGCCCCACATTCAGGGTGCGTCCCATTAACCCAATTCTGTTATTACTACCATTTTGCAAGTACAAAAATTAGCGAGTAATGGCACATTGGGCTGTCCTTTCCCCTTTGGAGGTATCCGGGTAGACTGCCAGTCACCATTTCTCTCTCCCACGTTGATATATATTTTTTTTTAATTTTCGAACCAAAAAAAGTACATTCAACATCAAAATTTAATAATTTCATGTTAAAAAATTAATTAAGTAATAATTTTGTGTCAGGCAGTCACACCAGATCCACACAGACCTCACCTGCAATAGTTGAATGCTTGAATGGAATCTCTCCATCTTCTCTCCCTCTAGACTTCTAGAGAGATGAGATGTGATCTACAGAGCAATCAGCAATGAACGAACAAAAAAAAAAGGATGAAAAACCGAACCACATTAATTTAAAACCCTATTGAATTCTCTCTATTATATTAATCTCACTATTTCTAAGATACATTCTGCCGAACAAGCAGTAGGAAAATATTCAAGCGCTTAAAAAAGAACTAATTAAGCTTTATGTACAGGTAAAAATCTCACTCACCACCCTGTTCGGATGCCAAGAACCAAAAAAAAAAAGGCCTAAAGGCAAAATCATCTCGATTCTCGAAAGAAAGAGAGAGAGAGAGGAGAAAGGCTTTTTACTCTCTTAGATCTAACTTTCTGATTCCTCTTTTCTTGATTCAAGAATCGCTGTAGTCGCGCCAGCAGATGAGCATGGCGACGCAGCGGCGCATGATGTAGAATCGAGCTCTTTGTTCTTTAACCAATCGCGCGCATTTTCTGGTGAAAGAACACCGCCGCTGCGACGAATTCTTCATGAGCGGTGAATTTGAAGATCGACTCCGAGACGAACCTTCCTTCTTCGACAGCTTCCACTTCTCGTCGAAATAGAAGTTCGGCTGTGCGGTCGCAGTTGTAGCCAGCGCGGTAGCCATGGAATCGATTATCAGGGTAAAAAACGGAAAACGGACTCGAAGCAAAGAGGGAAAAACCTGAACAGAGCAGAGGGGTATTGAGTTGTTGAGCTGAATTCACTGAGGAGGCTGGAGAGTGAGGGTGGGTTTGGGGTAATATTTATAATGGATTAAGAAGATGCGGCAGTGGGCATCACCTGGGCCTCTTGGCCCACCAAATAATACTTTATTAATGTATATTAATATTTTAATTTGGAATCATTAATATTTTTAAAGGATAGTAAATATGAGTTTTGAGACTCCGACTCCCACAAAAATAGAGCACTAATTTTATTATTATTTTATTTAATTAAAATTTATTTTATTTTATAAAATGCTAATACTCAAATTTAAAATTTCACTTTAAAAATTAAAAATAAAACATTTTATTAAATAAATTTCTAAATTTTAAATTACATTCTCTGTTACAAGATAATTATAGTTCTTCCATTTTGAGTTAGTCTGTCTTAAATTAATTATTAATTTTTTATTTTTTAAAGCAAACATATTTTTTTCTTTACTTTAACATTATTATTATTTATTTATTTTAATTAATTATTCTATTATCAATAATATTATTTCATCCTTTTAATTTTTTCTTAAGAATAATATAAAAAAATATATAAATGATTCTCAAATCCTTATTTTAGAGAAAAAATAAAAAATAAATAAAAATTATTATGAGACCAAAAACCGTAAGTTTTAATTAAATAAAATAATATTGAGAGTCTAATTGTTTTAGAAGTCAAAATTGGTATACATCATTATTATGTTCTAAATTAAAACATTTAAATTTGATTGTTTATTTTTCTTTTTTAAAATATCATTTAATAGCTCATTCCTATTTTATCCTTATTTTAAAAAATAATTACAGCATTTATTAGATAAAAGAAGTAGTGATTAATCGAGGATAAATATGAAATTTTATCAATTAATGATTATACTCTTGTTTTATTATACAAAAGACTAGATATACTAAACTTGAAGAAAGAGACTACGACATACACTCTCTCTACTCAATTTTAATAGATTTAATTTTTTAATCTAATAAAATAGGGATACAATAATTTACTAATAATAAAATTTCATATTTATTTTTAGTTAATTACTATTTAAATAAAATTTTTATTTAATACATATTTTGTAAGTCGATAGTATATATCAATCATAATTCTTAAAAAAATTAAAATCTCAACCTTTGATTAATTTATTTTATTAAAATTCAATTTAAAATTTAAAAACTTATCTTATTAAATGTTAATTTTTATATTTAAAAAGTAAAAACTCAATTTAATATTTAAAAATTTATCTTATTAAATAATAATATATGAATATAAAAATCTATTACATTAGAATATATAATTAATTTCTAAATTAAAAATTAAATTTATTAAAATAATACATAACAAGTATTAAATCTGAAAATTTATTTAGATCGTGTTTAATAAAATGATAAATATAAAATTTCATTAATTGATTATTATATTTATATTTTATTAAAATATTAATCTTATCAAGCTAAACGGGATAATATTTTATAATAATAATAATAATAATAATGAAGATGGTTTCCCAATACAAACGTCATCGGTGATGGGTCTACGAAAAGGGAAAGGAATTGAATGGAAGACAGGAAATCTCACTGAGGCTGTAATTTCCGAAGTGGGATTTGTTTGGACGGAACTTAAAAGCAATGGATGAGGTAAAAGGATGGATAAAAGATTCCAGGATCAAAGTAAAGACTTTGCTTTTTCTGGTATTCTTAATGGAAAGGAGATGAAAAAAGGGAAAACTTCTCCCGCAGGAGAATCACTTGCTTCGGTGGCCAGGAATGGTAATTAACACTCATTCAAGCTTGCTTTGTCACTTTATGTGTGTGTGTGTGTTTTTTTTTTTCCCTGTTTGGACGCTTAAACTCACTGGGTTTCGAAATAAGTGCTTGTTTCTATTATCATGATATTGGTCCCTTTCCAGGAAATTTATTTATATTTGGTTAAATGTGTAAATTAAACCGTAATATTTTTATGTTGAAGTTAATTATTATAAAAAAAATTGAAGTGAATTATCACATTAAAATTATATTTTTAAGAAATCAACTTAACTCTATATTTAGAATAAGAGTAATGGAAGAGAGGAGAGGAAACTTTTTCCCTCTGTTCCCATCTTATCTCTTCCTCTAGTTAAGATAAATAATTAAATTAAAAAAAAAATAAAAGAAAAAAAAATTTCTTCTCTCCACCCTCCAATTTTTAGGGTAACCAAATAATTTTTTTTTTTTTTTTTGTTGGACCCAAACAAGACCCATACTAGTCGGTAATTTACCGGGAAAAGGTGAGAAAATGTTTAATTTCTGGATTTGTTTTCGTGATTTGGCATACAATGCCCAGGCGTCAGCTTCGGGGAAAAGAATGGTGAAAGGTGTCCCCAGCACTCTGAAGAATACGTTATATTTTGTAGGCTCTCGAAACTAACACCCTTTCAATTTCACTTTATTTAAGTTCACGTGATGGATCTTGAATCACAGATTCAAATATAAGAATATATATATATATATATATATATATATGTATATATATATAACACAAAAATAAGATAAATTGCTCCACCAATAACTAATTATATTTAGGTTGGATGTTTGCATTGTAATGAGTTTCACATATCAAATTTTTACATGCCCCATGATGCCTTCAAGATTGTTTTCCAACTGTATTTAATAGTTTACATAAATTTTCATCTACTCATGTAAAAATCTAAAAATAAATATGATACAAAAAAATAAGTATCAATTTGTATCGTAAAAAATAAAATGAAAAAGTGTTTAAAAATTATGTATTTTTAATAAAATTTTATTAAAAAATTAAAATATCTTATATTTTAAAGTATAAAAAAGTTATTTTTATGGTATTTTATTAAAATAATATAATTTTAAATATTTTTAATTTAATATTTTTATAGATATGACTGATTAATACTAAAAGTTGCTCCCCCACTGTCCCTACGATCTTGATCATGATTCATGGATATGGTAATCTGATTGCCAAAAACAATATCCATAAAACCTCCTCAAATCGATTGTCATGTTTGATATACAGAATTGATCATTTGATGAGATGCATCATAAGGGGCTCATTTCTCCACTTATAACTTTCTATCAAAACAGTAGATAAAGTACTGAATAGGTTCTCCTACACTGATACCCTTTCATAGCAATGGAGAGTATACTCTTGGCGAAGGAGTAGGATCAAATCAGTGGTGCCACTTTAATCTCAAACCAAGCAAAAAAAGTTGGATTCCACTGTCCCTACGATATTGAAGGATACATGGTGCTAATATATATGATGGTGAAACTATATATATATATAAAATGATGGGTTAATGTTTGTCTATCTTACCTTAACAAAATTAAGAGGAAAAAAGATAAAAAATAACTTAATTCATGTTTTAAAAATATGATATTTTAGTATTTTTCAATATGTGTTTATTAAAATGACGTAATTTTGAAATAAAATTTCTTCCAATAGCTAAGAGATAAGACGCATAAGTATTATTTTTTATAATGATAAATAAAATAAAAATTTAAGATTAAAATTTAAGATTAATGACATAATATATATTATGTCGTTTAAAATATAAAAAAACTTTTATTTTTTTAAAATTCATAATATCATATTCATTGAACGTCCTTTCCAACTCAATGACATTGGAGTCTCAGTTAATGCTATTCATTATATGTGGATTGCATGTTTAAGTTTCCCAGCAATTATTTTCCTCATCTCTCAATTAATTTGTAAATCATTACATATGTTTAAAAAATAATATTATATTTACCAATTAATTTAATTAGGTGAGATCACATCATTGATATTAAATTTTTTAACCTCTTATCATTACTTTATATATATTGGATTTCATTTATAATATTTTAATAATTTTAGTGCAAAAGTTACTGTTTGACTTAAAAAATACCGCACTCCTTTATAAATAATATATATTGACAATTTATTTATCAATATTATTTATGTGTACAACATAACTAAAAGTGAAAATATTTGTTAATAATAAATTCTTTCCGCATAACATGATGGTAGGTTTTTTTTGTTCTTTTCGCCTATTAGAAATGCATAAATCGATATTAAACATAAAATAAGTTTGTGTGGAATATTTATTATTGTTATTTTAAATAATTATATTTTAGTATTATTTTTGTATTCAGTACATTTTGGCATTAAGCGCGCAGAAGCTCGTCGTTTTATGGTTGATGACGCACATCAGAAATTCAGAATTAAATGATTAAAGAATCAACGATTTTTTGTGAGACAGAAAACCAGAAAATCTTCAACTTTATAACAAACTGCAGATATTTTTCAATAATCTGCCTGAAATTTTCAGTATAAATATATAAATTAATACATTTCAATTTCTGAATTTAAAAAATAATTAAAGTTTTAATTTATATTTAAAAATTAAAATTTTGTTCTATTAAATGTTAATATCTAAAATTAAAATTTTATTATATATTTTAATATATCAATATTTAATTAGATAATTTTTTAATTTTTGAATTAAATTATAATTAAATAAAATGACAAAATTTAAAGTTAATTTTTTTTTATATTAATTGTACAACGGAAGTAATACAAAGGAAGTAACCATTTCCATTCTTTATCACACTCCAATCGTACGTCAACTATTTGAACTCAATATTTTTTATTTTCAACAGAAAGAGATTACTAAATTACTTAAATTATTGGAAGTTAAAACTTTAATTTTTTTTAGAATCTAATTGATTTACATTTTTTTCATATCTATATATATATATATGAAATTCTTGCACTTATGATGCTAAATTAAAAATTTTAAAATAAAAAATTTCTCATTTTTTGTGCAAAGGAATCATCAATCATCAAGCCTGCAGATGGGACTCAGCAATTTTTTAAAAACTGCTCTGCATGATTCTTTTGAAAAAAGAAAAAAAAAAGAAAAAAAAAAGGGCAGATTTCAGAAAGCAGCAGCTCCCTTAAAGCTTGCCATGTTCATTGGATAAGATAGCATCCTCCCCTCCATTGGATTTCACGGTATCTTTGTTGTTTTGCTTGGGAATTAGAAGGATTGATTGATTGATTCCAGTCCAATTAAGTTCTCAACTTTATTCCAATGAACTAAAAAAATTGGGAAAGGAATGGAGGTAGCATATGAGCTCTAATGTAAGAAAATTCAATGTTCTGAATCTTAATTAACTTAACTAATTTTTTTCAGTCAACAAAATTCATACTTTTGTCCTATAATGTACTAATGGAGGATTCTTTCCTTCAATTAGACCTCTAGTTTTATGTTCTAAGAATCTATCAAACTGGGTTTGGGGTTTCACATGCATTCATGTGCTCAAATCCTTTCAATCCAGCGGCGGAAACCCTTAATTTGATAATCTTCACCCACCAAAACTGCCTTTTTTCATAACTCAGCAAAATCTTTTTCCAAGCACGCGTGTAAGAAGAAGAGAAGGGAGATGAGAGGGAGCATGAGCATGAGAATGAACATGACCATGAACCACACTGTCTTAATTTTCGAATTGTTGTCCTTAAGAAGAACATGGTTGTTAGGAGCAAGAGGAAATGTCTGACATGATTTAGTTGACCGCTGCATACATGTTTGGTTGTGATTGGAGAAGCTTGTATAGTTTAATTTTTTTTTTTTTCAAGGGGTTTTATTATTTTGTTTTTTTTTCTTTTTTGCACCACCTTGCTTATTGCCATTCTTGGTTTTTTTTTTTTTTTTATAAAGCAAAAAGGGTTTAACAACTTTTCATAGCGAAGGCATGCTGCCTCCCAAGAACAAACATTAATCATCAAATTATATATACATTGCCTTTAACCGTCAATGATCTATTGAAAACTGGCGTTTCTGGCATTATAAGGATCCTTACGCCTAATGAATGGATAAGTTTTGCTAAATTAGCTTGTATGAATATTTCGCAATGAATAGTCTCTTTTCTGTTGCTTCAAATCATCTTCACTATATAATTGGAGATTTCACTGGATTTTGTTGTTTTCTCCAAACAACTTTCAATGGAGAAAGCCAGTTCTTGGCTTCTTGATGCCTTCATTTGCGTTTAGTTAGTTCTTGGCTTCTTGACGCCCTCATGCTTTCGTCCTCTTGGCTCTAAATCTAAACTGTTCTTCCTACTCTAGATGAACACAGTAGAAATAAATAGAACCTGATATGGAATGCTTCAGTTTGACTTTTGGACACTTTATAAAAAGCATATAACAAACTTTTCCCAAATGAAGCAGCAGCTGCCTTTATGCATGCCCATGTTCAAGGAATGGGGTGCAATTTCACTTAGAATATATATACTTACATAACTGATGCTTTCCATCTCCTATAGATATCTTTGTTATGTCCCTGATTTTATATCTAACTTGATGACCAGTCAATATATTCCCATTAAATGCATTTGTCAACAACACAAAAATGCCTCCTAACGGCTGATACAATCATCTACCACATGAACGAAGAAACGACCAAAGTAGGCTTGTAAAGGATGATGTTATATGATATCATAGGTTGGTTAATATATTGCTTCATAAAATTGTACTTATATCCACATCTCACATGCCTTCATGTTAGGTAAACCTTCAAACCAGTGTTCACATTACCAGAAATCCTAATATAATTAACTATTAGCTGCAGCTACCAAGCAGAAGAAATGATTAACAAAGCAGCAAAAAATTATGCAAAATTTGGTCAAACCCTCGCGGCTTGTAATTGTAGATTATGAAAAACATTAGCTAAAATATCTTTGTTTAAAACAGTTTAATAAGCAGCTTTCTTAGTCAAATGGAATCTGACTATACCTCAATTTTTTACCAATGTCTCCAATGTTTCTACCGTATTGTCCCACTACAAATGCATTAGATACTTAGTATGGCATACATTCAATCAGTGAATTTCAGTTGGGGTTAAGGGGGACAGGTATTTATTGGCTTTAAGGATTTCTAAGTATATTGCAATGTATCTGGTATTCAGATTGTCCCAATTGAATGTATAATTAGAGTGAGCAGACATTATCTCAAATACGTTTCTTGATCATAAGATATTCATAGATTTTGGTTGAATGCATTCAGACAAACAATCTTGGAGAAAATAATCCAGAACAATTTAGTTGTTCTCTCTTTTCTGTGCCAATGAACTTTCTTAGTTCAGAAACCAATGTCCAGTCTGCAGTGTCTTCCATTAGCCAAATTGTATCTTTCTTGACTCTGGTGCGTCATCAATCATCAACTTGTCCCTAGCTCTAAATACAAAGTAATGTGCTTAAATTCATCTTCTCGAGTCTAGAACCTAGATTATAAAACAAGGAAAGCTGCTGTATAAGGAGTGTAAGCCCCATGAAGCATGCCATCATGTTCAAAGGTTGGGATACACTTAGAGAGTTGAAATATTAAGCCTGTCCTCCTCCATTAATTAGTGATTATATTAATTACTGTGGCTAATAGCCTAGCACGAACGAGATTGTTTTAGTCCTTCTCTTTTTTTGTCACATGTAAGAGTTCAAGTTAGCTGAATTAAGAAATGAAGGAAGGCATCTAGTATCATGGGTTAGTTGATCTCCTATATCTTAATCAAGCTTACTGAATTCTAATTATCAAATAAAAAATTTGTCATGCTCAAGCCTATTAATCCCATTAATCTCATGTTTAATGTTAGAATTCTGGGATCGCTCAACTGTGGCATTAAATTAAGCAGTGGTTTATGGTTCTGTCGGCATCATTGCCATGTGCATCTCGAATTAAGAAATGATGTTGGATAGCTACTTTCAAGTTTCAACCGCAGTTGCAAAAGGCTAAGGAAATGTAAAGCTAAGCAGCTATCTTCTTCTTCACTTACCTTTTTCTGTTGACAGCAACTTCAAGTTGCCATCCAATAATTAAGGGGACATGAAGCATCATTCCCCATATCTTTGCTCACGGTATAATTTTGGTGAGGGGAAACAATGGATCTTCTAAAATGATTGAATATAGGATTTGCCATTCCTTCTTTCTTGGGGTTTGTTAAAGCATTTTGATTAATGAATCATAAGAGAGGAGATTTTGTGTCTCCTTAAGCTCTTAGAGTCAAACTTTACCTTCTATAAGATATGCGCCATATATTAGTTTGAGTTTGCAACCTTGACATAAATTCATATAGGCTGGATTTGAACTCACAATTTCAAGAGATTATGTGATCTTTGCCTTTTCTTTCACATGAAAGGTCCTATTCATAAGAGAGTTTTAATTTCCCTAACAAAATTAATGAGGTTAATGTCAGTAATTTTGGTATTAATTAAGAAAAGAAAGAGAAATGCTTATTTCAGGATAATTGAGAATGAGATTATTGTCATATCTTAAATAGATAATATTGCACTAATTACTTATTATAGATAGTAATATTACATGTTAATCAACATTAGTTATTTATTGGGTAGAATGTAAATTCTTATTACCAATAACAAGCACAAAGCAGTACCTATAAGAAAGCCTGCTACCATATAAGCTTTATACAAAAGAATGAACAAATTATCAATAGTTAGAATTCAATCTTGAGTTATGGCATCAATTCCCCACTGCAATGCAATCAGTCAAGACACTGGGATACTTTTGGCCTTGAAAAACTCAAAACTCTATCTTGAACACGAGCAATAACCAACTATACAATCTCTCATTTAGGGTGAAATAGCAACTAATGTATACTCCTATTGTATTCAAACCAGATATGGTAAATTGTAACATTGCAAGCTAGCTTGATAAGGGAATTGTAGAAGGCATTCATCTTGGTTTTCTTTTGCATCCATTGCGCCTTTCTTGGGGTTGTTAAAGCTTTATGATCAATGAATCATATGAGAGGAGGAGATTTTGTGCCTCCTTAAATCTCTCAAAGTCAAGACTATATCTTTATAAAATATATATATGTATGATATGTATATATTATATATCGGATTTCAATAGCAAATTTGATTTTTTTTTGTTTTATTTTTATTAAAAATTTATTTCTTATTTTTCAAATTATGTTGAAACATTTTTATTATTTTATTGTTTTTTTAATGTATTTGAGAATAGTTAAAACTACCATTTGTTTAAATAATAATATTATTATTAACATATAATTTTTTTTTTTTGGTATTGTATTAACATATAATTGAGATAATAATAATTGGACTTAAGAAACAAAATTATTGGCCCACTTAATTTGAGCCTTTGCACCTTATTAGGGTTTTTTTTAAATGATTTTAGTAGACTCAATTTTCTAATTATCTTAAGATGAGTTCTTTTCCCGTTGTAGCCCATTTAAGAAAGTTCTCTGCATTCTGGCCTTGTTTGAAGTTGGGCTGAAATGTATGTTGTAATTGGATTCATATCTAGTACAAGTAGTTATTTAGACGTTCTGAAAATGTACGCCCACCCCAATCTTAAAATTTTTGAGGCCCAGTCCAATTCTTCAGTGGGATTTTTGTCCAAGTTTCTGTTCTGAAGGGCTTCGCATCTAGACAATAATCTGCCTTAATTTCTATTAAATGGACTACATAGTTTGTATTTGTAAATATTGAATTTTACAATGAAAAAAATGTCAATAAAATCTTGGCGTAGTAATGTTACTTGCATAGCTGAGGTTCAATTCATGCTGCATAGATATTTAGTTTGATGTAGTATAAGATTCATTATATCACTCAAATTAATCAAAGACTTAGAGAATAATTAAGGTGTCAGATTATATATTGTCCGTGCATTTGATTTGAAAGAAATGAGAAAGAGGGGAGGGATGAGATCTTTGACTACTTAAATTATAATGTTTTCAAACAATGTAATATGATTGGTAAAAAATCCTTTATTCCCCTCAAATTAAACATACTTTTTATAAGAGTATTAAAAAAAAAAGGGAAAAAAAAAAAATCAAACTTTGAAATGTCATTGATTTTCTTTCAAAATTCATGACATTGCAAACTGATTCAGTGAGTTCCAAATGTTGTTGCTGCTGCTGCTGCTGGTATATGCATGTATGGACTTATCAAAATTATGTTATTTGAGCATCAAACTTTCATTCATTTTGCTGGTACATACAAGGTTGTTGCTCTTATTAAATGGTCCCAAAGAGATGAAACACCATTTATTTTCTCATTAATGCTTGCACGCAAAGTATATCTCATCAATACATCAAAATTCCTCTAACAAAATAAAGTTCACAAGCACAGTAACAACTTCAAAACCCTTTAACACCTAACAATCTCCGTTGCACGTACAAGCTGACCGGAACAGACACCAGTAACTGAAATTATAAATAAGGCACCTGAAAACATTTCATGTTGAAGTTCCTGCAGCAAAGGGAAAATCTCTGCTATATTATGAATTTAAAAGGCATTTAGAATATAGCATATATCATCTCAACCATGTATCACTATTTCTTCATTATCACTCATGACAAGTTGAGATAAGGCTTGGTTTGCATTTCATCATATATATATATATAGATCAATGCATGAAAGTAGGGTAATCTGTACTAATTAACACAATATAAATAAAATTAGACACAGTAATGAAGATTCATATTTTCTTTAGGAGGAAGGCAAGTGCAAATTTGTATTCCAATGAAGAAATCCATATTATAACATAATCACATATAAGAGCGTGAGATAGTTTAGCTTATACAACTCATAAAATTTATTTCTATTATATATGGGCAGTAGCATCATTTCATTCATGTATAAAGAGTGTGAGTATCTACAATATCATCATCACTTTTTTTTTTTTTTTGGCCATCACAATATCATCATAGTCAGACACAAAATTAGTTCAACAAAAATGCCATCTTTTATTCCTTCTTGTAAGTGTGCCACTACATTTAATTAAGTTCTCAATATTAGCACTAACTCTTTTGTTTTTAATGCCAAAATAACAGTATTTAAGTTTATATTAATATTTGATTTATGAGAAACTGCAAGAAAATATATCTAGCTTCAAGAAATGGATGAAAAAAAATGGACAATAAAAAGAGGGAAAAAAAAGGCTGTAAAGAAAATTATCCAGATTTTGCAACTTATCTTCTCTAGTAGTAAATTAATATGAAATATGAAGTGACTTTGGGCTGCCGGCAGCCGACCTGTGCAGATACAAACACAAACACAGATCAAATTGACATAAAGAAAATTAAACCATTGGACTGACCATAACAAGTAATAATCCAAAGTACAATGAGAAACAGCTTCCTTACTCCTTAAACTGGTCAAAGATCATAGGAGAAACAACATTCTTTTATCCCCATTCCCATATTTTACACAAAAACAGGAAAATACCCAAAACCCCTGAAATATTCTCCAACTTCTCTGGAAATAAACTCAAAACGGAAAACAAAACTTGGGAAGTTTATTTGGACTGAAAATTTCTAAGAAAGACAAAATCTTATGTATGCGTTGCACTACCGCTTGTACTTGATTAATGAAATTTATTTGGCTGATAAAAGAAAAGGAGAGAGAGAAATCTGAGGGAGATGTGCAAGAAGTCCATCAAAACCCCATTATAATTTCATGTACTAAAGAAAGAAAATGATTATAATTAAGAATTATTTTCAAAAGACAAGGCTGTTTACAGATCTGAAAATCTAGCGCATAACAAAGCGAAGATTGGAGAGAATCGAAGTTCCTCGGTGAGATCTAGGGGAAGAACCAGAAGGAAAAGAGGATGAAAAAGCCTAAGAAACCCCAAGTATCCAAGAAACAAAAGGAGATGATGGTTTCAACCAAAGTACAGACATACCTTACTGAAGCACTGAGGAAAGTCAGCACTAAAATCCATCATCACTTAGAATAAAATCTCCCACTGCAGATCACACTGTGTTACCAGCGCCACACTTGGATCAAATACTATATTTCTTCTCTTAACCCATCATATGAAACCCTTATCACCAATCAGAAGTTAAACAGATGTGTTAATTAACCAACAGGAAGCAGCAGAATCGATAAGAGTGAGATTTTTCAAATAAAAGTTGGTGTTTGTTGAATTTTTTTTTTTTTTTAAGTGAGGTAAGTGCAAAGTTGTCACCTACTTCCTCGGTTGGAGATGGTACGGACATCTTGAAGTAGGTTGGACCGTCATGGATGAATTACTTACCTGTTTATTTGCAGAGAGATTTGAGAAGGGTATAAGTAATTTTAGCCATTTATTGCCGCTGCAGCATCATCAAGATTCTCATATTCAAATTAGAGCCATTGAAGTGATGATGAAGCAAAATTAGGGACCACAAAAGTGGAACCAATGAAATCACACCACCTCTCATCACCAGCCCTAAAAAGTTTTTGTGAATCTTGATGGTGCTGCATCGGCAAACAGTGACTGTTGTATTTCATCATCATGATCATCACTCCATGCAAAAGAAAAGGAAGACAACAACGCAAAAGGGAGGAACAAAACACTAACCCTAACCCTAAATCTCACCATATATATGTATATCAGACTAAAAGTAAAGTGCACATAAAAAAAAGCTTAAAAAGTTCAAACCCACATCTAGATATTTGAAATAAGAAAACCCCACTCGAGATAAAAGCAACCTATGCTTATTCTCTGTGTCTCAAACAAGGACAAATGCAAAATACTAAAGAACTCCTGGGGACCAAAGAGAATAGGAGAAATTGAGGAGCTAGGAGAGGATTGAAGAAAGCTTTGAAGGCCAAGTATAAATATATAGGGAAGAAGAGAGAGAGAAAGAAGGGTTTGTGAATTGCTGATGTGGGTAATGAATAAGAGAGAGAGAGGGTGTGCCCACAACAGTTATACATCGTAATCCTAGGTACCAAATTTACCAAAACTCTTTAATCTTCTCTGAAGCAGTACCTTGCTCTTCTCTCTTCCACAGATGTCAACAGAATCAATAGCCAATATAAGAATGGGAAAATTAAAACTTAGCTAGTTATGGTGGTGGGATGTCTTGCGTCCGCTACAAGCATTTTCAAGTGGTGGGGAAGGCTGGAATTGACAGGGCCCTGCACGATCGCTCTTCTCTCCTAGGGTTTCTTGAGCTTCCTTGTTTTTGATCTTCATTTTCCATTTTTGGTTCCCGTTTCAAGACTTTTGGTTTAGACTCAGTCTTGCAAGTTTTTAATTCGCCTTTTTTGTTCTTTAAGTCTAATGTTTAGTCCGTCTTCATTTGTTTTCTTGTTTCTACCCTTTTCCTTATGTATAAATTAATGAATTTAGACTGAAGTACATAAGACTGATACTCAACCAAAGTGGTGGCCCTACTTGGCAATCCTCACCTTGCTAATTAAATTAAGGTTCTTGTTTGATTCAAGGTAATTTTTTTTTGTAAATTTTTCAATATGAATATTGTATCTTTAATTAAGTGAAGAAGTCTGAAGTGGATTATTCAAGATACCACCTACCTTACATTATAATGCATCCAGTGACATGATGAAACATTAATCAACCAGAGAAAACAGAAACATATTGATGCAATTTCCTAATTTCTAAGTTCAAAATCCCCCATTTGAGCATTCCACCAATGAGCAGCAATTTGGTTAGACGGCTGGGGATTCTCTTTATAAAGATTTGGCCGTATTCTTCTTTGTTGGTAAAATATCTGTTCAACCTGTAATTTAACGCACAATAGGTCAAGAGTGCATCTAAATACCATTTTCAACCGAAGTATAATGTGGAAGGAAACACAATTATAGCATTGAGATAAGTTCAGATAAATCAGGATAACACATGGATATGAATTAAAGCAATTAATTAAATATATGGTAAATCTAATGAAGATTCTTTGTTTTTGTTTACTATTAGGATATTTTTGGATTGTTTTTTACACATTTTAAGATTAATTTCTTTTAATAATTTTAAGTACACACCTTATATATCATCTTAATACATTAGAAAAAATAATTTTTTTTGTGTGCTACCACCAAAACTTATAAAGATAAGACGGGTGGATCCAGATTTAACAATCTGAGTGAAAGATTATTATTATGCATAACACCAACTACTGTGTGTGTTTTTTCTTCCTTTCATTTCTTTTGACAGCATCCATAGAAGGGGGGCCGGGTTAGCATGATCCAAATTCCAAATAAGACAATACCTTCCACAGAGTGGAAGTTCCATACATCAATTATACCTCTTATTTCATAACCTGTATTTGTTCGCATATTTGAACATCAGAAAAGATTATTCGTGAAAGTCCCCTGGCCCCCAACCTCGCAGTGAACAGAAACCTTATTAAGATGATGTGACTTTGATATTGCTGAATCTGTACGGTCCATAGAGGAAAGAATGCGTCCAACACGGTGAAGTGGAGCCAAGTTGCTACATCCACTCCTTTTTTCTCGTACCATTTCTTTAATAAAAATTCCATATTTAATTATTTTTTCTGCTTCAAGTGTGGATATAGAGGTATGATTGGGAAGGAAATTTGCTGGTGATCACCTTCTGATTTAAGAGTAATGAGAATGTCTTAGCAACCAATTAATTGGCAACACAACAAGAAAAGCCAACTAGCTAATCAAACTCTATTATTTTCCATTTTGACAGCTTGACATCCCAACAATTTCTGGTACCAAGTGAATTATAGTCCATTTTAGCAACAACTAAAATCTCTCATTATTTAAAACATAACTTCTCAGTCTTTCTATTTTTAAATAGCTATCCATTGATTTACTAAGATTTATCTCTAAAAACATGTGAAGGGAACATATTAACATTCCCTAGTTTAGAAGTTGGAGGGGGTCCATTCCATAGTATACCATTGCTCATATATTCAATCCCATGATCCCAAAATGCTCTCTTTGATTAAGTTTGTTATGTTATCTTTTGCCCTAATCTTTAAGGAAAGGTTGTTGCTTTTTTAAATAATGGAATCATATACATAGATTTTATAATCGAGAATAATCTAAGAATATTCTCAATATAGAATCAATGAATGTGATATCACTGCACACTTGATATAATATTTACTGTAAATGTGTTCTTATCTTAACACTTAATAAAGTTTGGATTACATATTACTTTCAAAATCATGATAACTAGGGAGGGTCACTTCTTACTTGGATCCTCCACTTCACCGTATGATGACCACATGCCACATCTAAAGGGTCAAATAGAAAGATTGAAAAAGAACAAAAACCAAACCTTCTCTCTTCTCTCAGCTAAGCCTCACCTAGGCGTCACTGAAAGAAATAAATCTCTTTTGATTCTCTAGCAAATCTCCTTTTCAACATCGCTTCATTGGGGCTACAACCTTATTCTCTGTCCCAACTAAGATTCAAGAAATCTCAAACAGTTCGGACATGAACTTAACTGAATTATTAAGGCATATATAATTAATCAACTGTCTTAATCCTTTTTCTTTCCAAGTACACATGGAAGCAGCTTTGAAATGATTTATCACACGCAGCCCTGAAATTGCGCCGACCCCTGCTTCCAGAGGTCTTACATTACATTACCATACACCTACGTTGCATTACAACGTACGTATAGCTTCCTCCTTTCTCCTCCCCCAACACGCCATCACCTTACTTCCACCTCCCTGTTTAGGCTGTTTTTGACATCCCTTCTCTGTTAAATTTTGAACTTCTGCATTGATCAGGGGTTCACTTATCTCTTAAGATTTTGGCAAAATTGAGGACGTTTACACAAGTTGGGTGATTGTGATTCGTGAATAATGAGGAATATTTAGGTAGGCGTGTTTGGAGCCAAAGAAATCACATCTTTCTCATCATCGAGAGGTGGGAAAGGGGGTTTACTTAGGGGAATAAATCTGAGTAGGATGAATGAGGCGCCAAACTGTGGGGTTGTTGTTCACCAGGGTAAACAACCACTGGCTCTGATTTTGCCCCATTTGGGTGTTTTCTCTTTTGGGTTTTGACACCATTTCTCAACTGCTGTTGAGATCAAATTCTTCTCCCTCTGTAATTATTGGTGCCAAGTGAACAGTGCATTGATGGGTCTGAAAGAGAGAGTGAAAGTAAACGCAGAGTAAATGAGAGTCCATTGATATTCACATGCATGCATGATGGTGATGGTGATGGTGATATTAACTGATGATGCCATTGCCATGCAACAAACTTTGCTCTGTTTTCTAAGCGTTATTTGCATCTTTCTGAAATTCTGACGACCCATTTTGGTTCTATTTGATGTGATGCTATGACGCATTTACTCGTCCAAGAAATGTCTTTGTAAAGCTTGACAGCTGAGTGCTCTCTCCTTCTCTCCCCCTTTATCCCCCTTTTCAAAAGAAAGAAGAGGGGAATCAGAGATTCAAAGGAAAGTGGTCCGAGAAAAGGTTAACTAGCCTATAAAGAGTTCATCCAAAAGTTAAACTCTCTCCCATTTGACCGTTATTGCTTTTCTGAGACTCAAATTTCAAGAATACTTCATTTTTTCTTGAACATGGGCAATTTTTAGCCATGAGGTGCACAAAGTAAGTGACCTCATTTGGACTTAAATCCCACCAGACTTAGGTATGCAACGTAGATAATTGGGTCACAAAGCCTACTTTTATATAGGGTTTTTTTTTTTTTTTTTT